ATATGCAAAGGCCCTGGGGCAGGAAGAGTTTCCAGAGAGAGCTAAAGTGTAGAGAGCCAGGTGTAGATGGAGCGAGATGAGACTGGCGATGTAGACAGGGCCAGACTGCCCAGGGACTTGTAGTTTAGTCCAGAGTTTAGATTTTATTCTAAGGGCAGCAGGAAGCCACGGAATGACTTTAAGCAGGAGCCTCCCTACCGTGAATGGTGTACAAAGGGAGGCAGGCACTCAGAAGGGAGAGCAAGAGGCAGACACACGCTGAAATTCAGCATCAAACACGGGCACTGGCCCTTGAAACTCACCCTGGTGGGAGGAAGCACACAATTACACAAGTACTGAAGTGCAGGCATGGCGTCTGGTGCTCTGGAGAAACACTGGGACTCAGAGATTCGTGCTTCACTCGTTAATTCAGCCAAGCACTCGTTGACATTTTTGCGCCTCTGCCAACACACCAGGCAGTGTGTTAGAATCAGCATCCCCCGAGGTGACACAGGGAAACAGACCCTACTCTGCTCTCAAGGAGGAGCCATCGAGAAACGCAATATCGAGGCAGGGTGATGGGTACTGTAACAGGGCCCACGATGGGCACCTCAGGCAGAGGACAGAGTGACCAGCTGCCAGGAGTGGGCAGTAATTTCGGGGGAGACTTCCTGGAGAATGGCATGCCCCGCCTGGGCTTTAGAAGGATGAGTAGGAGCCTGCCAGGTGATGAAGGGGGTGAGGAAGGCTTTCACGGGGCAGGGGGACAAGCTGGGCAAAGGCCCTGGGGGGCGTGAAACAGCGGGCTTTACTGGGGACAGTGCTCACGGTTCCGGGAGCTGAAGGGCAGGGGACAGGAGGTAAGGAAGAGAAGCAGCTAGAAGCGAGTGGAAAGGTGCTGCAGTCCCAGGCTGAGGAGTCTGGACTTTATTCTAAGGGTAGCGAGGAGATACAGGAGAATTCTGAGCAGCAGAAGAGCAGGATCAGATGTGAGTGTTAGAAGGAGCCCCTGGGGTGTGGGACAGGGCTGAACACGAGGCAGATGCTCTGGGATAATGAGAGGATGGCAGTTGAGCTGGGCCGGGGCTGTGGGGGGGGGGGGGGGGGGGGGCGGGCGGGGATGGATTTGAAGAACACTGAGGACCATGCTTAGTGGGCTTCCCTTCATTTGCTCAGCAAATATTTCCCAAGGTCTCCTGTGTGTCAGGCCCTGCACTCTTGATGCTGGGAGTGGGAGATGCTTCAGATCCTGCCCCTCCCCCCCCACCTTCTCCAGGGGCTCCCAATCTGGTGGGAAGATGGACTGGGACACAGACAGGAGAGAAGTGGTTAGTTGATGGTGCCACACTGCCAGGGGCTTCACCAGCTTCTCTCTTCATAAGATGGAGCAGCAGAAAGGGGTGGAATGGGAGGTGGGACGGGATCAGAACTGGGTGTTGGGAATTTCCTTCTGGGGCCCATGTGGACTAGGAAGGGAGAGAGACTGGAGGGCAGGGCACCAGAGAGGAATTGCAAGGGGGCAGCGTCAGAGAGAAATGCTGGAAAATGCCTGGAAAGGCATACAAATGAGCAAGACAGAGGAGAACTTAGTGTAGGGATGACAAAATGGAGAGAAGAGGGACAGAGAGAGGTGGAGTGAAAAGAGACAAATTTGGTGGGGGAGGGGGTTCTGTAGTGGAGGAGGACAGAACTGGTTAGGAGTTGGTGGATTCTGGGGTCCAAATGCCAAATTGGAAGGAAGAAAGAGGTGGAGGATGGGCAGAAGGGAGAGATGGGGAGGAGGGGAGATGGGGGAGAGAGAGATGGGGAGGAAGGAAGATGAAGAAAGAGATGGGGAGGAGGGGAGATGAGGGAGAGAGAGACAGGGAGGAGGGGAGATGGGGGAGAGAGAGATGGGGAGGAGGGGTGTCGCTGGGTAAAGTGCGGAGCTGGAGGACGAGAGAGGGAGGGAGGAGGGAGCGGGGGGAGGGGGAGCTGCTGAGGATGGGGGAGCACGGAGAGGAGATGGATGGGGGAGAGGGAATGATGGGGGGGCAGGGTCTGGGTGGCAGAAGGAAGCTGGAGAG